CACCTTACATTCCAGAAACCCGAACATACCTGTATCTCCCAATCCCTGACTACTTTACCTTATATGGACTCAAGACAGCCCAGTCACGTATTCCCTGGCCATATAAGCACACCTCTGTAGCCTGGGGTGCGACTCTCTCGGGCCAGACACTGTGGACCGTGGGACTTCGCCCAGGCTGGGTTTTTCTCCCCAATAAAGCCTGTTTGCTCTAATTCAGCTGATTTGGTCTCTCGACGACCTTACAAGACCTTCATTGGCTGATGTGGTACAATTCAGGATGAGAAGAAACAGCTGTCAACATCCATTAAGCAGAATGTAGAATGTAAGACATCCATCGGAAGTCATAAAAAATGACATGGGATGCTTGAAGAGCTGTCCTGGCATTAGTGAGCAGAGAGTTATATTATCTACTAGGTCACAAATGACAAATTGAAGAGGAGTGGCATCACATTCATCATCGGAAAGAACATCTCAAGATTTGTCCGGAAGTACAAGTGTTGTTGGCAATGATAATATCCATATGCCTTCAAGGAAGGCAAAGGAATACAACTATTATTCAAACACACTTACCAACCACCAGTGAGTGCCAAAGATGAGGAAACTGAAGAGTTTATCCCAATTTCTACAGTTTAAAATTGATCGGACACACAACTAAGATACATCGATTATAACTGGTGGTTGGAATGAGAGGTAGACATGAAGAAAAGGTTCAGCAGTTTGAAGTCGTCAAGGATTTCCTTTAACTCAGATTCACAAACAGCACTCAAGGAAGCCGCAGCCATGAGAGACCTGTGTGAGTCCCGGTAGACTAGAGAAACAAATTCATAGACACTCATATGCATATATGAAAGAGGTTTATGTTCAAGAGCAATTGAATATTTAGAAAATGTCCCAGCCCAGTCCAGATCAAGCTCATAAGTCCAATATTATCCCATATGTCCAATACCAATCTATAGAGTCCTCTTCAGACTCAACAAAAGACATGCAATGATGCCGAATGCAGGAGGATCAGAGGTCAGCGGGTTGGAAGTCTTGTGGCTGTAGTGGCTCTGTAAGCATCTCAGCACTGGCAGGGGTCTCTCTGTGGCTTCTCCGGCGCCCAGGGCAAGGGGTCTATCAGTGTAGTGCCATGTGTCTTGTCAGTAGAGATTTTCTCAGGGAGTGAGTGTTGTTAGTAGAGAATTTCTCAGGGAGTGAGCTGAGAGAGAGAGAGTGTCTCCTGCCTCCAAGGAGGAAATCCAGGAATTCTCGGGATAGGGCCATGCCCACACAGGCCTCATTGGCTATGATCTGATTGACAGACTAGACTCCACCCCTTGACTCAATCCTCTCAAGTCCCAAATTGACACCAGATTATGTGACTACCACAAGACCAAATGACACATTTCATTGGACAAACTTGCTACCAAAGATTTGAAGTGTTAGAAAACCCCAGATGTGCCTTTGAAGACTTCAGAACATCAGACCCAAGCCATGGAATTTCACTGGCGAGTGTGAAAGCTGGAAAATAAATAAGGAGATGTGTTAGTCTGGGTACTTTAGAGAAACAAATCCACAGAAACTCATGAATAAGAAAGAGTTTTATATAAAGGTTAAGTCCACATCAAGAAAACATCCCAACCCAGTGCTGCACAAAAGTCCAATATTAACCCATATGTCTGACACCAATCCACAAAGTCCTCCCATCTCGCAAAACACACACAATGACACCGACTACAGGAGGAGAGCCGAATCTGAATGTGTAAGCATCTCAGCGCTGGCAGGGGTCTCCACATGGCTGCTCCAGCCCAGGGCTGCATCGGGGTAGGTCCATGAGGCTTCTCCTCTGGGATGTCTTGCAGGAAGTGAGCCTTGCCAGGTGAAGCAGGGAACTGGCTAAGGCAGCTGCACCCTGGTCCGACCATCAGAAAGCAAGAGACCCGAGAACTCGAAAGGCGAGGCTCACTGAGCCATTTATCCCTCCGCCCTTCAATGAGCCCACATGTGTTTATTGGCCAGGTTGGCACAATAAACTACCTACTTCAGGAGACAAAAGAAGAACATGATGCCTGTGGACGATGATGTCCGTGCAGAGTATTAAATGTGCCATGGGCTGCCAGAAGAATGACTGAATCGGTCTTGGAAGAAGTACAGCAAGAATGCTTCATAGACGCAAGGGTGGTGAGACTTTGGACATGTTATCAGGAGGGACCAGCCCCTGCAGTAGGTATATGATACTTGGTAAAGTAGAGGACCAGCGAAAAAGGACACTGTCAATGAGATGGATTGACTCATTGATTGCAACAGTAGGCTCAAACAGCATGCTAGTTACAGAATCTGGTGTCCACTTGAGACTATGGTAAAGGGGTGGAGTTTACCCTGTCAATCAGGTCGCACACAGCTTGATGACCTCATTTGGAGGTGCTATGGAGATAAATAGCTCACTGGAGGCCAGACTCAGACTCTACTACACATTCCTGTTGACAAGCCACATGGAGCTACACTGATGGAGCCAGAGTCCTGGAGCTGGAGAAGCCACATGGAGACCCACGCCAGTGCTGAGATGTTGCCTTTGGATCCACAGGACTTCCCACCCACGGGCCTGTGATCTTGCAGCATTCGGCGATATTGCATGTGTTGCAAGAGTCTGAAAAGGAAATTTATAGATTGGTATCAGACATATGGGCTAATATTGGACGGATGGACTTGATCTGGACTGGGCTGGGATGTTTTCTTAAATATACAATTACTCTTTGATATAAAGTTCTCTATTACACACAGATGATTGTCTAAGAGTTTGTTTCTCTAGTCAACCCAGACTAACACACATGGCAGTGATTGTGAGGGTGGTGTGGTCCTTTGTTCTCTTGTACAAGGTTCACTATGAGCTGGAACTGATGCCATGACACCTAACGGCAACAAAAACACGTTACAATTCAGGACCACAAATGATCCCCAGTATAGCTCTTCGATCAGGGCAGGCTCTCTTCAGCCAGGCCTGCAGGCAGGCTCTCTCTGGCCTTTGGCCTCACCCCTGCATGTTCAGATGAGTATTACAAAGCTCTTTAGCTCTGTGGGTAGGTGCTGGAGGCACCCCACCCCACTAACAAGGTTGCTGCCTCTAGTCCCTCAGCTTACCCGCTCCACAGGCCAGGAAGCCACCTCTTGCCACTATCCTGGTCCTGCTGCCTCTGCTGTCTCCATTGCGCTGCACCTGCTCAGTGTTGTCTCCAGTGTTATAGCTCTCTGTCTCCCGGGTCTAGGAGGTTCCCAGCATTTGGATCTCATGTCCAAAGGATGCACCTCGCTCCCATTTCTTCTCTTTGCTGCTAGTCAGAGGTCCCCCAGGACCCTTGGATTAGTTCTCTTTTCAGCCATTGGCTTGACAAAGCTGACCAGTCCCCACTTTAGAGATCCATACA